AAACTCTTATGGCATTGTCATGAGGGTCTGATTATAGATTAAGTAAAAATCATGATTTTAAAGGTTATACAATGATTTCTGGAGTAACCAGTGCTCCCAGAAATGGTATTTTGGAATACACATTACTAGACAGCTAAAGAAGACAATTTGAGAATTTAAAAAGCCTCACTGTAATTACAGAGACTCAGACTTTGTTGACCAGTAATCAAAATTCTCAAAGCTTCTTGGATTTATAGAGGTTCTTGCCAACTTACAGTTAAGCATGCCTGTTAGATCAGGAGTAATCCTAGTACCTCCAGATGTAGGCTGCAGTGATGATGTTGGGATTCACTTCTTTATTAGATGTAACTTGTGAGCCTGCTATATTTCTTCTGGAGAACAAATTTAAACTTAAACTGCTTTCTGAGTTCTGACTTCAGGTTGCAGCTGTGGGCTCTGTAAATTACATCACTTGGATTAAGTTAGTAATGAAAAAAAACTTGTTATTTAATTATGAGTTTCCCAAAAAATAGAAGCAACTTTTTTTTTCATAACATGATGTTTGAAGAATATTACACTCGAGATTTCTACCATAAACTTTGCATAACTCTTCTATCCACTAATTTCATAGGTTATCACATACGTTGCTTTGCAAAATACAGTATGATGTAGAAAGACTTTTATTTCCTCTTCCACTAGGCCAGGAGAATCCACTTCACTGTATATTTGTTGTAATGGTAAGGCACAGCCTCTGGGAGTTGTGAACATGGAGTATTTGTGAAAATCGGGCAGTTTCTCTCAGAATGATAAGCATCCAAGTTAGAGATTTTGGCTTCAGTGTTGGGCTGTGTGTATATATATAAATTTAACTTTCTTACACTTATATGTAGGACTTCTAAAGTCCCTTTCACCCCTAGCAAGGCCTCTAATAGTTCTTCTGTTTGAGGAAGAGTATGCCATCCTGAGCCTATCTGGCTGTCTTGAACTGTAAAGACTGCTGGTATATAGGATTGAACTGGCATCATTATTCTTGAGAGGTCTTGTTCAGTCATATAAATGTCAGTTTAACTTATTAGTAATTGGTTTCTCAGGTGTCACAAAGACCTGCACAGAGTAATTGAGTGAGAATTGCTCTATGTGAGAGAAAGAAAATGCTCATTCAAAACTAGTCTTCTTTTCTCAAAACAAACAAGCAGTAGCTCCCAAACCCACTCCTGACCCTCTTCACCCATAGTATAGTGTTATTACTTCCAGTTCTCAACAGTGGTTCACTTCTAGTACAAAAGTTGTATTGCCAGTGACAACGGTACACTTGAACATGTGTACAGAAACTCCATTAAGCAGGATTGTGTATAGTCTTGTCAACTGTAACTAGAATGTGCACACAATAGTTTTGCTGGGGGAGTGATGCCTAGGAACGTCTCCAGGTGAGATGTGGTTACCCCTGTTGACAAGAGCAGGACTAACACTGTCCTGTTCTGCTTTCTGTAACTAGACAGTCACTTTTGGTTCTACTGACTGCTGTGAAAATGATTCAGTGCATCTCCATGACATGCACGATTATCAGAAACTAGTATTAGCTAGCAATCTATGCAGGAGTTTAACCCTGAAGTGTTTACGAGCTATTTAGGTCTACAGATTGCAAAAGTTAGTCTTCTCTGTTCCTTGAGGCTGTGAAATTTCATCATGTATATGTTTGGGTCTGTACAGATGATGGCCAGAAAAACGAGGAAGGGAAACATACACTTTGTACTGGAATTATATCTACTGCATATTGTGGTAAAAATGGTGTGTTGGTGAACATACTGTACTGATGATGAGCTTTCATTTCATTAAATTAAATGCACCATATGGTGCAAAATGCTGCTGTTCTGCTTGTTTGTTATGCGTGTACTTCTTACATCCTTTTCTTTCTGATACTCCATGATGATGGGAAAGGTATTAAGTTAGCTGATATAAAATTTCTGATTTGTATCACCAGATCTGTGTTTGGTGGATAAATGCTTGCAACCATAAATGATTAAGCTTACAGTTTTTGTTAGGAATGAATTGATGATGTGTTAATATTTACATCTGTAACTTTGCATTTGCAAGTACAAACATGAAGGCTGGTCTGGAGGTTGGCTGAAAATCTGGTCTTGCATATTCTATGAAAAATATTATTCAAATTTCTCACAGGTGAATAAACCTCATGCATGGATGAACCTAGTTAATTCAATGGTTTAATAAATCTAGAATCCCAATGAGGCTATAACAAATCCCCCTGGTATCTTAGAGTTATTAGAGGGATGTATAAAATAATATGCAAGCATAAGAGCTCCTTCTAAATTTGAGTCGTCTTTTGCTCATTATTTTTTTGTTCTGTTCAGTACATGAAATAACTTATCTGTGTCTCAGTCATGATAAAGTATTAGATCAATTATTATTTGAGGGCAATATCTGGGGTCAATTTGTGTCTGACTAGATTTTTTTTCCTTTGGATAGTTTGTTTTTGAAACAGTTTTGCAGCACTAAGACTGATGCCTTTCCATTAATGTTCCTTTGAAAAAGATGGATAGCTTGAAGTGGAAATTTCTGTAAACCCCTTGTCAGGGAGAAGCACCTTGTCATAAGGTGCTCCATTTTCAGACATTAAACACGTGAATCCTGGATCAGAACCAGTTCTCTATTTAGAAACATAGGAATTAGAAGCTGACAAGGACTGACTGAATTAGCAAAACAACTGGAACTAATAGGACTGCATAAGTTTAATTGAGTGCTAGGTTTAAGGTCATTGTACTCAGCTATAATTTGGACAACTAAGCAATGTAATGCCTGGTCAGATTTGGATGTTAAACCTTCCAGGAAAGAAATATCATACAGGAAATAATAATTCTGCAGTAGGTTCCTTTTGCGATGTTTTGATACAAACCAAAGTCCTAGGTTAGCAGTCGTGGTGCTTTTGTAAATTTTTCAGTATCACGTGTTACCTATTTTACAGGCATTCACAGGGACAGGATACCCACTCCAAGAGCCCTAGAATACATTGGAAGGGGTATATATTTTCAGGTGAAAAATAAAATAGATATTGCAACTATCTGTTATTATGGAAAGATCCTGCCATATCTTCAGGAAAAGGAATCTGTTGTTCTTCACAGCTCCTGAAATGGGGAACAGGATCTGCCTTCATTTTCCACTGAATTAAATAAGAAAGCACGTAAAGCAGTGCTGACTGATGTAAATCTCCTCACTCTAAGATGCACATATAATTTTACAAATATACTTGGAACAGAGTAACAGGAACTTATATTCAAAATTTTCAACTAGTGAAGTTATGTGGAGTTCAGAGGAAAAAATAATGAAGCTGAAGAAAAGGATGATAGATAAGAAAACTTTCCACTGAATGTACTCCGCTATAAAATTGTAATTTTATTAATAGGTGAGGGAGAATTAAAATGCATGAAATGGTAGCTAAATACAAGGAAAGTCATATACTCTGCCCTGGTTTAGAAGATCATAAGTTTATGAAATTGGAATGCAGCTGAATTGATTGAGATCTGATATTCATTATACTTCAGCACTGCTGGCAGAATCCCTTCTAACCAGACGTGCATGACATGTTTTCTTAGAACTTTCACAAAGCCCAGAGTTTATAATGACAATTAAATTGCATCTTTTCCCAATAATTCCACAATCTGAATTTGGTCTGTGCTAATAACTTTTAAAAAAACTTAAATACCACATTTTAATATTAGAAATCCATTTAATTATAGGAAATCTCTGGCTCTGCTTGTCACCTGTATTAACATTTATATTTCTTATTGAGTCTGCAATATAATTTCTGGGTTTTGTCATGGACATCCTTCTTATATATATCCAAAGCCTCATGTAGGACATGTCTGACAACCAAACTCCTAATTTATCTTTGCCTTATCTTATTTTGTCCACTGAGATTGGCAGTATGAGCAGCAAACATCCTATGTGAAGGGCCAAGATAACAACTTGAACAAGCACCAGCCTATTGTTCTCTTCAACACTGGATTCTTTTAGGAACGAAGACTTGATCTGCATACCTGTTTCTGTAGGCTGGGTCCTGTCCTGCAAAACTTGCTTCCTCAGCAAAAAAAGCTTATCTGAAAAAGCAGTGCCCTAAATTCTGTTCACCATTTGGAAGAGGCAGCCAGGTGGGATTTATTTCTCCCAGGAACTTTTCTTTTGCTCATTAATTGTTTTCCACACCAGGCTATTATGTTGGTAAAATATTTATAACCATTATGATGAAAATTGCCAGAAAGTGAATTTACATTCTCTACCTTTTGACTTTATATTTTTTTCTCATGGCTTTGAAACATTGCTGTGGTTTTGGCTTGCCTCTCTGTTCTTGCTACCCCTTTCTGTCGCACTCAGTAATTGGCCTAAGAAAAGGCAGAAACAAGAATTTATTACACCTTGGGCAATACTTGAAACAAACTTTATTTGCTGGAGCAGCACTTTTTATCTACTTGCTGCTGTATATTTTGACATTCTTCTAAATATTAAATTTGACTTTTTAATAAAGTTAAATCTTGGCTTTTTTTTTTTTTGTAATTGCTGCTGGTTTTGCAGTTTCTTAGGCAGACTTGTACATATATAAACATATCATTTTAATGAAGCTTTTGGAAAAACAATATAAGCTGTGACTATATCTACTTCATTACTGCCAGAACCCACAAAAATGGAATGAATTAAAGACTAGCTTCTGTAATACACTGTAAATTAGACTTGGAATAATTTCTGCAATGAATTGAGAGAACAAAGGTGAGAACTATTCAACTTTTCATATGTTTTCCAAGCTTGGGACTTGACAAAATATTCCTCTAACAAATGACTCTCTTTACCTTTAAAATTGTTTGCAAAAATAATGACAGTAGTAAAAACGAAACCAGGTTAGAATGCTAAGATAGAATTTCCACTGTTGAATCTATTTTTTAGGTGGAAAAAGGATCAAAATGTTTTTGTTTGCTAAAAAGGCCTTAAGAAATAGCAATACATCATCCTGGAACTGTTTATGCAGGAATTTTTATTCTTTGAAATCTTCCAGTGTTAAAGCAACAAGAAAACATTTAGAATGTCCTTTGGTGGAATCTTATTACACTTGATATATATGTAAACTGATATTCTTTGATGCCAGCACGTTGCCCATACAGAGAAATCTCTGCGCAATTAAATGAAAGGAAAAAGAAAAGGACTAAATAAAAAGTAATATTTTTCTCTTATCTGAGTAGAATTAAATACATTAACAAATTGTCTGGTAACACAAATAGGCAATAATACAAAAAATCTACATTGTACATTATTTCAAGAAAAATAACTTCATTTGAATACAAAAGGATAAATACACTTTTTGTCCTATAGTCACTCTTGTACAGTATGTGAACACAGCATCTTACTGATGCAGTGCTGCTAAGGTATACAAGGATATGACTGGCTTGAATTTTATTGAGGGGGCTGTTACACATGTGCATCACTAACATCAGACAAAGAAATCTTTCAACCAACAAGGTTACAGAGCAACGTTCACTAAAGCACAGGTTGGAAAGGTTTCGGGGGTTGAAGCAGGCCAATATGGCAGCTTTTACAGATTTCCTTATACCCACAATGCACTGACAGCAAAGAATGCCTTTATTTGGTCGGTCCACACACTGGGCAGAGGTACAGTCGTGCACCATATAGGAGTAGCAAATGTTTTTTAGCTCCGATTCCCATCCTGGGGGCTGTCAAAGATGTCTCACTCCTGTGTAAGCTTTGCAGCTGGCATTGATTTGACAGAATAGGCAGCCACCAACTTGTCTCGAGTCAGAGGTGAACAGTCTTGACTCAGAGCCCTGTCTGTAACTGATTAATATGGCTTAGTTCAGTTAGGCCTTCTTAGTTTGTATGTGGTTGTTTTTTTCCTCTTTTTTTTCCTTTTTAAATTTCAGTAGCAAACGCTTGGATTTTGTTTTGTTTTCATGTGGCACATTCATTTGGAGTAGTCTGAATGTGATGCCATCAACCACACGGAGTCTAGCATATGCAAAGCCCAGTTACACCTAGTAGAGCAGTCAGCAGTAATAGAGGCCTGTGTGATATTGCCTCCTGTCCGGAGTTCTGGCTGCAGCCTCCTGGATCCCTTTCGCACTTCAACTTCTCGCATAAAATGCCAGTGTAAGCTGGAGGGCACTGGCATCGCACATTGTTGATGCATGTTCCTCCGTTCTGGCAATGCAGTAGCTCATTGTCACATACATTTGCTGCAAAGATAGCAGGGGAGGGAGGGAAAGAAAAGTAGAATAAATATAAGTCCGTCTACAGGAGAAACACTGCACTAAAACCATGAAATCACTGCCGCTTCTTCTCATGCCGAGACGTGAAAACAAGGGATGCGGTTTTTTTTTTAAGCATTTCAAGTATGAATTTTTTTATTTTATTTGCATTTTCTCATATCCCCACCCCCCCCTTGTTTTTTTTTTTCCTTTAAGCTGTAGTATTGGAGAACCATATAATTGACTTTGGACCACTGACTATGATAATGAATTAATGTGAATTATGATTAATAATGAAAGAATATGAATATTAATACCTGCCTTGTGCCACTGTCTGCTTTTTTATAGGCATTACTGTACTTGAACTAAAGGTGGGTGTGTCATTATTTGAAGGGGGCAAGGTATCTAGAGCTTTTGAAAAGCATGAACGGTGGTTAAAAGTGCAATGTAATTTTGCTGAAGTGAAAAGATCTGTGTGAGGAAGTGGGTTTTATAATTGAGAACTGCATGTATTAATGATCTGAAAAAATTATGCAAAAAAGAAGGCAAGCACAGGCAGGAAATTCAGCATGCTATTTGATGGGGATTATATGTTATATACATATGAAAATAAAAGAGAATGTTATTTCCATTACAGATCAAATATTGCTTCTTAATTAGATTTGCTACTTTGGTAACTGTCACCTTAAACTATCTTATATTTTAACCTGATATAACACCTTCAGAAGTCAGATTTGACAAAAGAGAAAACAAGGCAGGCAAAAGTTTTATTGTATTTGAAAAACTGGCAGCTGTACTTTGTATTACTTAGTATCAATTGAAATATTTCACTAGGTAAATATGTAGACATATGAGGAACATACTACTTAAATGTGTCAATCTGTGTTTTATTCCATACAATATCACTAGTAGAATATATGCTAGATTCCAGCCCTGTCTTCCATAGGAAAAGCAATCACCATAATGAACTAGCACCTACTATCTAGGCAGAATGTAACAGTAAAGATTTTCATGCAGAACATTAGGGAAATTTTATTTGGTTTAGAAGCAGACTCAACATTATATGCTGTTTATGCATACCTTAGCCTAGAAATACCCTAAATAATTCAGAATAGGGAAAATATTGTTAATTTTGCTTTAAACATTGCTATTTATTGCTAAACAGAAGTACAATTTCATAAATCTTAATTTAATTATTTTTAAAAGCAACCCATATAATCTGAGAACTAAAATTGAAACAGTCCAAGTTCTGAAGTGACGTATTTCTATATAAATCTGTACAAATTTTTGCACCAGCAACCTTCCTGATTATCTTACCTGTTCTGGCTTGCTTTTAGAAAAATAATTTTCTCACTCTAGGATTCTCTAACAACTGCTTTCTAATGTTCTGTATGCACATGGGCCAAATAACAACTCGTACTAGAAACTGATAGGTGCAGTTGGGAGAAAACAGTTAAATGATCTTTTTCAGTGATTCCTTTAGCAATTGAAGGTTTTTACAAAGAGCTATCGATTTAACATTGTCCAGTTGCTGAATTGTAATATGAATGTTAAGGTACAATGAACCACATATTATTGATGACAGGCTCAATGTCTGAATTCTAAAGTTTCATAAGTTACAAAGCATAGTGTTTATATTATATACGAGGAATCGTAAATCACCATAAAAAAAAAAAGAAAAACGACCCAGAAAAATATAATGTTAACAGGCTGAAAAAAACCCCTCTATTTTTGAAGTCAATATTTGAGTTAGATCTCTTAATAACTGAAGCTATGTATCCTTGAAGCTGACTTTATTCATATTGTATATATTTAGCCCTATCAATGTGCAAAATCTGATGGTACAGCTACTGAATCTACTTGTCCTAGGCTGCTTATTGCTGGGATGCTTCCTGCAGTTCAGGCAATGAAAATGTGAAATATCTGTCCCATCAATACTGACTATTGTTTGCCTTGAATAATGGAGTGGAATTCAATGGCTAATTAAATACCACTTCTTAAACAGCAGATGGGATATTTCACTTCGTGTTTGTCCTGGAATACATTATCAAAATTTTCTCAAGTATTCAGCAAACCAATTTTATTTTCCAATAGCCTTCCCGTATTTAAAATTATTCTGAGAACTAAAGCCTGTTATTTTCAGAGGCCCTCAGCCCAGGCGCTGATCTGTAGTTACAGAGTGCTGGAGATGGGTGGCTGAGGTGGTGTTTCGCCACACGCTAGCTGTTCTGCCTGACACACTTATGCAGGTTGTTATCAAATACTTCCAATTATTTCTGTCTACAAAATTCTGGATACGGTGTTATAGATGCTGATTTTTAAATCAGTCCATTTATTTCTCATTAGAAAGCTTTGTAAATGTACTTGGAGAAGGGAATGATCAAAAGCTTCTCTCCTTCATTATTCTTGCATGATTTTAAAGGTTTGCCAAAGAAAGGCATTAAAGTAAAACCAGGTAGATCTTAATGTTCTCAGCAAACTACTATGCAGCTGAAAATTCTTGAATTTTCAATCTTGTATTTTCACAGCCTCCTTTTCCTTAGTTTCATCCTTGCACGCACACATGTACACACATATACTATCATGTTGATAGCAACTGCAGTGATTTGGATGTTAAATGAAACAATCCGAAAATGTTCTGAAATCCTATTATTTATTTTTGCCAATTTTGTTTTATTTTTATTCTGAGCAACTCTAAAACCATTTCCACCTTCCTGAAAGCATCATTAAGATTACTTTTAAAACTCGTATTAATTAATTATGTTTATTGAGTTTAGGAACTGGATTAGCTATATCTAACAAGTGTAGCACATCAGCAGCATAAAGAAAAGCACTTTGACTGGAATTTAAACCAAAGTTTATGCCTTAAACCAAAGTAGTGGACATGGTGCCAAGATCAAAGCAAGACAAGTATATTAAATGTTACAAAAATTAACAATGTTTCTAATGTTAACACAGTATTTTTTTTGGGTTATGTGGTATATTGTATTTCATAATTGGCTCTAGGCTTTACTCGGTGAAGGCAGTGACCTGGGAGCTGTTGAGCAGGGGACAAAGGGCAAAGACCTTGCCGACCCCTTGCTCTGCTTTGAAGCCCAAAGAGAGCTGCTGGTGCTGGTGGGTGCAGATGGGGCTGGTGGACCCCCAGCCTGTGCTTGGCCCTTGACCTTTTCATTTCCCCAAGGAGCAGGAGCAGTGAGGTTTACAAAACAGGGCTTTCTTGCCCATTGCACCCCTCTTACCTTCTACTGCCTGACATGCCCTTACCCCTTCTTATACTCCAAGAAGTGAAGCGTTGCCTCCACTGCTGAGAGGTGTTAAACAAGGTCTGCTTTATCTTCATCATTAAAAGTAACAATAATGAAAAATTAGTTTGAATTAATCTGAAAGGCATCAGGTATCAAGATCTGATCAAAGAATGAAACAGAAGTAATGCAAGTGAAAGCACTAATTCTGAAGTAATCACACATGACTGTTAAGACTCGTGTGGATGAACTAGCTGTGAGTTTGGTGGTGAATCTTCATTATTAGAAGACAGGACATAAACCTGATCATTAAGAAGCAAAACAAGGATATCTGATTTGCCTTGGAGGACTTTGTAGGCCTTTTGGGGGGATGTTTTTTGGGCACAGTCTCCAGATCTGTGCTACTGTGGGAAATGAAAGATGAGTGAAAGTAAAATAAAGGAAATTTTTTAATGTTATTTTCATAATTCATCAATTTACAATCTAAGCTATGGTCTAATTATGGGATCCTTAAAACACTCTACAAAGGAGACAGGAAAAGCCACATGTCAAAATGGATAGCTATTTGAAGCTTTTCTGTCCTTGGGGCGACCACTGCTCCTCACCCTCAAACCAACAACCCTATGCAATTAGTAAGAGATACTATTATTTTTAATTAAAATGTAATCATCTTTTCCAAGGTAATTATTAATAAAATACTGAAGCCTTTTTCTTAGGGTAATACCATTATGAGTGATGAAAGATGTCTTGCCATAAGTAATAAAATATTCTTGATTTGTAATTCCAATGTTATTACATTTGGAAAAGGAATAAAAAAGGAAAATAAGAGAGAAATACCCACTTTTTCAACCAGCTCAAGCAGTTAAAGGGGTAAGTGATGTGCTAGTGTTTCATAGAATTTATATTGGATGTTAGATGAAATGTATTGAGACTAGCACAGTTGTCTGACAAATGCCTCCTTCCTTACCTCTTAAATGCTCAAACCTGAATAATACATGAAAATTTCTGAGGCTGATCAAAACTCAATTTTAATACCTTTGCAGCTTCTTGAAAGAAAAGAGATAGATAGCTGTGGTTGGTTTTATTCTAAAGCGGCAACATAGACACAGTAATGCAAGTGGAAGTCTCGTTCTCTTCGATCTGGTGGGCCACCTCAGGCACAGCATTGTGCTGCTGGCTTTTGTTCTTTCCTGTTACTGTGTCTGGGCAGCTTCAGAGCACATGCCCAGGGCTTTTGGTCTGCCTGGTGCTCAGACAGAAAAACAGTACTCTATCTGACTTAAATAAAATTTCTTTTGCCTTTGTCTTTCACAAAGCCGTCCAAGAGGGGCGAAACTAAATCCTGTACCATCCTTTGTGCTGCCTTAATTTTTGTGCAGCTTGCCTACAGTAGCATCTTATTCAGGTGGGTCAGCCGCATGAAGATGAGAAAGGACAGGCTATTGACTTAAGGAAAGAGAAATGAATGTATTCAAAAGGACATCTTTTTTGATCTGGGATAGATGGTGTTCTCTTTCTTCATCAAAACCTGGGTTTATTATGAAATTTTCATTGTTTGTGGGAACAGCATAAAGACCATTAATGATAAAGTCACAGAAAGAAAACTTTTTATTAGATGTCCTTGCTTGCTTTCTTAAAATCTGAAGTCTTTCATTTCAAGCAATGTTTTGTGTGATCTCTTCCATTGCTGTTTTTCTTCAGTGTGCTCTTTTTTGCAGGATCATTTGTTACAGCCTTCCCTCT